TTTTTCTCGTAAATTGACTCCAGCTGAAAGAAATTGGCAGGTACATGATCAGGAATTAGGCATTATTGTTGAAGCCTTTGAAGAATGGCGAGCCTGGTTAACTGGTACTCCTACTCCAGTAACCGTATTTTCTGATCACGCCAATCTTTGTTATTTCATGACCTCTCAAAAGTTAACTCCTAGGCAGGCGCGTTGGGCTTCTTATCTCAGTTCTTTTCATTTTCAAATTCTTCATACTCCAGGAAAAATTAATCCTGCAGATCCATTATCAAGACGTCCTGATTACAAGGTTATATCCAATGAATCAAATAGGATGACTCTTTTGAAGCCATATATGGTAAAAGATGGTGTTTCAGTATGTTCTATTGATACCACTTTTATCATTCCTTCTGCTGCGACTCGACAACTTCTCATTGATTCATATAAGGAATATGACAATGTTGATGGATCTAAGCCTCCGCCTCCATTTTTTACTTTTCAAGGAGGTTTGTGGTGGTTCCGTGATCGGTTATTTGTTCCGCCAACACTTCGTCAGCAAATTCTTTCAGCTTTTCATGACTCTACTTCCATGGGGCACCCGGGCCTTGCACATATGTTGAGTGCAGTGACTAGGACCTTTGCTTGGAAAACTGTTCGTAAAGATATTATTGATTTTGTCCGAAGCTGCGATTCATGTCAGAGAACAAAACGCTCTACTCAGAATCAAGTAGGAAGATTAATCCCGTCTGCAATACCGGATTGGCCTTGGAGCACGATAGGTATCGATTTTATTGTTAAGTTACCTATATCATCCGGTTGCGATTCCATTTTAGTAATCACAGACCATTTTTCAAAAGGTGCTCACTTCATCCCTTGTCGGGAATCAATGAGCGCTCCCCAATTAGCATCTCTTTTTATATCTCAATTTTTTCGATATCATGGGTTTCCTGATAAAATTGTTTCAGATCGAGGTTCGACTTTTGTTTTGGCCTTCTGGATTTCTGTTCAAAGACAGCTACGTATACATCCTGCTCCCTCTACTGCTTTCCACCCACAGACAAATGGACAAACAGAGAGGACGAATCAGGTTTTAGAGTCATATTTAAGACATTTTATTGGATATCGACAAGATGATTGGGTTGAACTATTACCCATGGCCGAGTTTTGTTTTAACAATTCAACTTCTTCCTCTACCAATCTTACTCCATTTTTTTCTTGGCAAGGTTTTCACCCTAGAGCCAATAGTTTCACCGAATTCTCAAGGGTTCCACATGCTGATAAATTTGTGGAACACTTAGAAGCAACTCAATTGAACCTTTTGTTATCTTTGAAGCATGCGAAGCAGGCTCAAGCAGATCAGTACAACAAACACAGTCGAGAAGCTCCAGTTTATTCGCCTGGGGAATTAGTCTGGTTGTCACGACAAAATATAACCACGGCTAGGCCTTCATCGAAATTAGATTATCGTCGTATTGGACCATTTCCTGTAGTACAAATGATTGGAAGAAATGTGGTTAAATTAAATTTGGGCAGTACCTATTCAAGACTTCATCCCGTTTTTAATACCTCTCTCATCTCACCATATATATCTCCTTCTGTAGGAGGTCGTGTCACCCCGGAAAGACGTATAGAAGGACAAGTGGCACCTACTCATGATTGGAGGCATGTTTCAGCAGTTTTGGATTATCGAAAGAAAGGCAAAGCAGCTCCCAAATATTTGTTAAGGTGGTTAGGAAGGCCGATTTCAGATGATACTTGGGTTTCCTTAACAGACATCTCGTCTGATTTAGATTTATTTCTTTTAAATTTTCACGCCAAATATCCACAATTTCCATGTCCTTCAAAACTTTTAGATAATCGTTATGCGATGGGATATCAAGCAGCGTTGGGAAATCTTTAGGGTAGACGAAAATCATTATTGTAATGATTTGTAATATTGTAAAGAAATATTCAAATCTACTAGGAGATATTATCAAATGTAAAAGAGATGGAATGATTGGAAATGGTTGTTATAGTGAATATGGTTGTTAGGATAAGATGTTACAAACTGTTTATGTATATATATGTTGTTAGTTTACAATTGTTTTATTCTTTTCTTATCGAATTATTAAAGTAGCTTTATCACTCTTAAAAACTAGAACAAAACTCGTGATAAGAGCAATGCTCCACGAGACCCTAGACAAGAGCCCTTACAACCCCAAGGAACCCCGAGCCTTTCGTGCTTCAAATATATGTATGAGTTGGATCTATTTTTACCTGAGCAAGAAAATAGAAAACCCAAGCAGAGCCAAGCCTCTCGTGATCGGGTGAGTAGATAAGCTCGACTCTTGCGCCATGACGGCCTTACTTATAGCCCATCATTTGAGCTCTCCAAAATCACAGAGGAATTATCGAATTATATCTCTCCGACCTTATCCCTTCTTTGATTTTTAATTTACTCAATCCTACTCAATCACATCATGCACTTCTCTATCATATTAACCGTCATCACTTCACTTGCAGGTATGTGGGCTTGAATCAATCTCACGTTACTTCATTCTGATACCACTCTACATTTTTGTTCTACCTCAGCTATCACAATTGCAGTGCCCCTCGCCACGTAAGACTTGCTTCTCGTCCATACTGCATTGTTTGGATTTAGCTTATTTTATATATGTTGTTTGGTGAAAATTAGCAATCCCTATGTCAGTAGATTGATGACTCGGAGCAGCACTTCGACTGGAAGTACCATGTAAGTCAAGCTCTCAAACCATCCTTTCATTGGAAAACATTTCAAATTGGTCATGTACATTATGTTCATGATTTGTTGCGGCTACCACTGGCACAGTACGCAAAGTACCACATCCTCGACCGACACTGCAACAGTCGGTGGTCTCGTGTAAGTTTTTTTTACCTCTCTACGCGTCTATGTAATGTAGTTACAATTGCTAATGAATCCATCAAACTCCCAACAGTGACTTTACCAATAGTGGCGGAGGTCATTATCCACGACGTTAAGTGTATGATCGATAAAGAAGCCGCACCTGGTTTATACATGTCTGTTCTTTACACTTCGACCTTGGAAACCTTTTTCTCTTATGGCGAGGGCTGACGAATGATTGCATCTACATAGTTCTGTTTCGGGGTAGTTCAAGATGACTTTAAACCATCACACTTGGTTGTGTTTCCTATTTTGTTTGTCACTAGCATAGCCAGACAAGTTTTTGACCTGCATTCAAGATTGGGCAAAATTTTTTATTTCATCAACTTTGCAACTTTCATTAATACACAAGACTTTTCCATTCTGGTGACTTTCGCTGGATTGAAGAATGGCAAAGAGCATGTCCACTGAATTGAATATTTGTCTCATCGCGGACAACGTCCTCCAGATAGTCTTTGAAAATAACCTTACCTTGGGTTCTCAATGCCAAGAGGATAGATGAGAACTATGGTCTGGAGACAGCCTAAATGGCTTGTACCATCGTGGAAAAACTGGTATTCGCACCACCTCCCTTTGACCCCCATGTAGAGGGTATAAACAAAGAAATTATGACCTCCCTCTGGAATGATCATTAAAAACTCAAATGTCGATTGGATGTTTGAAGCATGAATTCATGGTAATTTATCTGCACTTCCTCGTGCGATCCGATGAGACCTTATACATCACTTCTTCCATCATGAATTGTTCTTTCCTATCTCGATGCTAAACACAAAGAGAGTCGGTTTGTGAACATGTGTACATATATGGGAGAAGCAAAGAGGTATTGTTGAGAAAAGTTACTATTCTCACCAAGGGGACCCTTTTCCTCATTAGAATCCTAAATGACCATCCCCTTTCATTGAGTACCACGCAAGACTAGAGCTCCTGGTACTCACGGCGGCAAGCAACTAGGTTATGTTGCTACTCGCTGTATGAAAAGTTGTGCTGTGTAAATCAAATAAAACAAGGAGCCGGCAAAATACCTTGAAGGAAGTTTATGTAGACAAAGAGAATTGATGAGATTCATCAAGAGCATCAATTTATCATTCAACAAACCAAATCTATTGTAGCCCAAGAATCCCGATCAAAAGTCAATACATGGACAATTCAAGCAATTGTGATGAACCGTGATGAAACTCGTCACAATAAAACATACCTTATTCCAAATGATACAGATATGTATTCTGCGAAACTCTAGGTCATGGTGACTACGGGAGACTGCGAGCATGAACGCCGAGGTTGCAGTCTGACGAATTTCTAGTAAATTCAATAACACATACATTTCTTGATCTGGTTGATCGATGTATCATCCGGGTCGACATCATGAATGGTCATAATAATACAACATTTTGAAATTCAACCTGTGGGCTCCTCAGGACCTAAGTTGATCATTATCCCTCAACTGATCTCTCAAACTCATAGCCCAATCAATTGCCATCCTATCTTCATCCGATCCAACATTATAAACCACCTCAGAGTCCCATCCACATCTCATCGGATTATCAACATCACCATCATTTAATAAAGCTCGTGTTTGATATCTACGTCGATATGAGCCTGCATTCGAATCACTCAGTACAGATTGTTGTTTGATGATCTCCCCGAGAGATTCGTACGTCTCCGCTTCCAACATCTCTTCATCTTCATCTGATATCGAGTCATCTGCCCATCCCACATCACGAGACGTTTGGTTCGACTTGGGCGTAGCGGGGGTGTAATCCTCCATACTGATTGCAGTGGACTGTCGTGGAGATGGAGGTAGTGGTAGAGGTAAGCCTTGTTCAGATGAAATCGGTGCGTGTTCAGTGATGGTGAGAGAGGCGAGGATATGTTCCAGGTCTTGTTTAGCCGAACTTTTCATAAGAGGCGCCAATAACTCGTCCAAAACTCCTGGAGTTTGTTTCATGGTTGAGGTCGAGGCAGATGATGAGATCGTAGCTTGTTCTTCTTCAATCTCTTCCAACAATTTAAGATCGTCTTGATCATTCAGCATACCCTGAACACCAATTCCAAATCGATGATTATGAGCCTTTGCCCAATCCGGTTCACGACCTAATACACTCTTTTCATACCATTCACTTCGCTTGAGACAAGTCGTACTACAAAATTGACCCGATTGCTTGACATCGAGTAACTTGCGACGTGAAAGGCAAATCTGAAGTTGAGGTAGATCAGAGTTCGTATAGGGCCTTCTTGGAGATTTATCACATAATGGATAACCGCAAAGTCCACTCGAATGTCTTTCGATGATTACATCTTCCCGATAATCAGCCGGTTTGAGATGTTTTGCCTGCAGGAAAAGATGAAAAAGTACAAAACCAAAATAAATTGGTGTTTGAGCAATTTTTTTCCCAAGAATTAGTATGATCACATTCATCATGAGATTTATCATTCTTCGAGCCGAAAATAGAAAATGATTGAAAGGCTTTACGCAACAGCATCCTTGAGAGTCTTTCGATCCACTTTGTTTTCACTCAAGACAGTGACCCAATGTATAATATTTAAACTATCCATGGCCCTTCTTTCGCTAGCTTTCTGTACATTTTCCGACCATCTTTCGTTTTCTTCTTTTCGAGCTGCAGCCTTAGGTCGACGATGAGGTCCAGGATGGGATGACTGGACTACTTTGAAGCTTGAGGTCGGTTTCTACGGCAGACAGATAATTAAAAAGTCTGTTAGTGGTCTGCAAGCATAATCCGAGGAGCTAAACGGAACCAAGTGCCGGATTTAAAAAGATAGGTCTCCGATGACGATAAAATTGAAGACTAACATGGTGATATGAGTGGGATTTTGATTGCGGCTTGCCAATAATTTTAGGCTGATCAAAGCTATGTGCGGTATGATCCATACTGACAATATGCGGTGCTCTCGAGCTCCCGGAGTTAGAGGCAGTATTGTTGCGAGTGATCAGTTGAACGATCTCTTCACTACATCTGTCGTCGTTAAGGACATCCTTCAAAGCACGACAGTCGAGTGAATCCAAATCACCATGAACTTGATCAAACAACTGATTGTGATCTATGTTCTGGGTTCCCATGGAGTTAACTTTTTGTAATCGATGCAATGTCGTATAGAGTGGATAGATAGATGATAGAAAGATGATTGGAGCGTAAGGAACTCGGTCAACAAGGTTTTTAAAGCTAGAACCCCCAAGGAAGTGCAAAATGAATGGTTTACCGGATAGCCCATCTGAGCCAGCTCCGGGCCGGGTCGGAGTATCAATGTGAAGGTATCAGTGAAATTCAATTTGCCATTGGCGGGGTCCGCCAACCCTCTTAAACACATACACAACACCACCGCTCAAAAGCTCACCACTTCAAACTTCAACATCTCTAAAATCAAATTCAACCCATTTCTGTGGTGCTTCCACGCGTTTGGCGCACCAATTCGACTCGGCCTACATATGTAGAGGCTTCTTCATCTCCATCCATCCCCATCTCTTTGCGCATTGAGCTCACCCTTGGACGATAGAGCAAGACTTTGATTCAACTAACCCCAACGATATCAAATTCACTACCTCTGTTCAACTTCGAACGCCTTTCTCTTTTTCATTTCACTTATAATCACTAAAATTGTAGAAAACAGCAAAAACAAACATTCTACAGCAAAGCTCGCAAGCTGGGTTTTCAACAATGAACAATTATTGACTAAGGTTAAACTTATAATTCTCTATGACAAAATTCAACAGCTAGAGACACCACTTGATGAGACAGTTTTTGAAAAAGATTGTAATCATTATTGAGAGATGATTCGAGAAAGTCTAGCCTGCAATCACAGCCAACATCTATGGAGCTAGAGGCTGGTTCAAGCCACATCAACACTTCCTGACCTTCAAACTGAGCCCCACCTTGGATGTAGTGATTTTATCAAAAGACTGAGTTATGTAGTGAATGCGCAAATTTGAAATGGGCCAAAGCAACTGAGTGTTGAAGTTGAACATGAAAATTTACCTTCCTTCAATCAAGCTGATCACCTTACCATAAAGATCCAAACAGGTTGGTTGACCAAATCCCTTTACTGCTCCCCAGTCAACGTTTCATCGTCCTGTTCACCTTCTTGACAGATTGCCTGTTAGCTACCAATCGCAGGCGATCCAGATTGGAATACATGGGGTTGCCTTTGATGTAGGAAGTTCCGCACGTCGAGTCTCAATTGTGTAGCTGGCGTTCAAACGAGCAAAAAATTCAAGTTCGGACATCTGCATTTCGCCCGTTGAACGTTTTGCCTCAAGTCGAGACCAGCAGGGGTGGTTATCCTTTGTGATATCGCGAGGTCGAGCCAGTAATGTGATCGTCCTCATTGGGTAATCTACAGCGAGTCTAGAAGAGTCATCACAGCAAAAAGCACCCCGATTCCCTTGATATCATTTTGCCACCATGTTAATCTTGAAACCCATCCATTGGGTTATCATGTTTTGAGTGAGGATTGGTATTTGCACGTGACTTCTGGAGCAGGATGGACGATATCGGAAATACAGCTTGAGGTCGAGTGGAATGAGATCGTGAGCAGCAGGTGAGTCGAAGAGGCGTTGACGGAGAGGTGGCTCAAATTGGTGATGGGCATATGAGATGTGACGTTGGATGTATGTAGTAGGCGGTAGTTGTATGTATGTGTTTAAGAGGGTTGGCGGACCCCACGCTCAGGGCTTCCGTAATTGCCGTTCTGTTTACCTTGACAAACCTGAAAGACACCTCTGATATCATTCAATAGTGAACATTCAATCAAGCAAATCAAAATATCAAGATACTCAAGATGTCATCAAACAACGAACAAGAACTTCCTTCAACTCCCGCCACTCTCTTACCTTCTACAGTCCCCGAAAATGCACCCGAGCATTGTCCAGGTAAGTTTAAAACTAATCTCAAATTAAAACTCTTTGAATCTAATCTTCATGATTTTGTAAACTATCTTTAGGAACCGAATCAACACAAGCTGGACTTGCTTCAGCATGTTCAGGTTGCGCAAATCAATCGATTTGTCAATCTCAACCTAAAGGACCTGATCCAGATTTACCTGCAATTAAAGATAGATTAAAGAATGTAAAACATAAGATTTTAGTCTTATCTGGTAAAGGTGGAGTTGGTAAGAGTACTTTTAGTGTTGGATTAGGTTGGGCGCTTAGTGGTGATGGTGATAATGTTAGTGATTGAGATCAGATTCAAGTAATGAAGATTCACTTATATTTTGAATTGATTTATAGACTGCGCTTCTTGATATCGATATCACTGGTCCCTCACTTCCGTTAATGCTTGGATTATCTCCCGATGTACATCGATTACATTCTACTTCAAGCGGTTGGTCTCCGCTCTATGTCACTGATAACCTCTGCGTAATGTCGATTGTGAGTACAGCAGTGCTTCCCATCATCGAACATTCAGTCATCCTTTCTAAATCATAATTTTGCAGGGTTTCATGCTTCCTAGTACAGACTCAGCCGTTATATGGCGAGGGCCCAAGAAGAACGGGATGATCAAACAATTCTTGAAAGACGTTGATTGGGTAACTGGAGAGCCCGATATCGATGGCGAAGGTCATAAGGAGCAAATAGAATTCATGGTCATCGACACACCACCTGGAACATCCGATGAACACCTTTCTATAGCTAGTTATCTCAAAGAATCCGGTATTACTGGTGCCATCGTTCTTACTACACCACAAGAAGTAGCAATTCAAGATGTCAGAAGAATCATTTCATTTTGTCGAAAAACATCAATTCCGATCTTAGGAGTAGTCGAAAACATGTCAGGTTTTATTTGTGGAAATTGTAATGGAGCTTCTGAGATTTTTTTACCTACAACAGGTGGAGCTGAAAGATTATGTAGAGAAGAAGGATTAGATCTTTTGGGTAAGATTCCATTAGATTCAAAAATTGGGAAAAGTTGCGATTTCGGTCAAGATTGGTTAGAAGAATTTCCTGATAGTTTAGCTACTCAAGCTTATTATAAAATTGTGGATCGAGTGAAAGCCAAGATTGCCAGTCTTGAACGAAAAGAATCATCTCAACCTTCATGATATCTTGATCTTATGGTGAAAAATAGTTGAAGAGATATTCAAGAGTGGATGACGACGAACCAAAGAATAATATGTAGAAACTTGTTGGTGCTTTCTTTTTTACTTGCATCCATTCAAGACTTGCAACTGATACACATCACTTTTTACGCAAAAATATCTGACAGCTCGAAAATCATATAAACTGAGAAACTTCTCAAACTTTTCAATATATTAGTGTTTAAAAATTACCAATACTCTGTCTTAGCTTTATCAATGTGTAGCATCCATCAATTCTTCTACTCATTACGACCAAGCAATTGCATACATTATCAATTCTTGATGAGAAGTAGAGGAACAATGCTCCCACTTTTTGCAAGAAGCCATGGATTATACATCTACATATCATCCCGGAAGATTAAAGCATGATGAAACAAGCTCTTCCAGTGCAGCTAAGCAATGTCCATGGTACATACTAAAACTTGAGCATGAGGTCAATCAAATTCTGACTATATGGCCGAAAGACTTTCAAGAAAAGGCCAGCTGATTTGGCGTCTGGTGAAGGGCTATCACTTGAATTCCTGGGATTCAGACTTTCTTTCTTCTTCACCTGTCTTAATTGATTAATTTGACAACATCATTGTTCCTCAACCCACTCCTGCCAAACATGCCCAAAAGGGATCAAACAAAGTCCAAGCTGGTTTGGCTACCCTTCATTACACCATTGAAAGTACTAGGATTCAAACTGAAACTTATTCCTCAACTCTCATGGTTGATATACTTGATTTCAGTGATGTGACTGAATTATAACCACATCAGCTTTGATTTTTCTTGAACCCTTTTGGTCATGCTTGGCGGAAGTGAGTTGAGGAAATATAGGGTAATTGGGAAGTTGAAGCTTTGAAAGTTGAGAGGTAAGGAACAAAAGTCAATTTGGATCCTAGGACTTTGAGTGAATGTAACTTATAAAAGGATTCAACTCCATCATTAAGATCAGATACCAGCTTGATCAGCAAAATATGAAAGAAATGAAAGGTGTTTGAAGAACATGGTTCTGAGATAATATGTGGTTTATAAAGAACATGAATGAATGAAAAGAAAGCTTTTTTTTGAAACATAACAGTCAAAATACTGGATTATGCAACAAATCATGATGTATGTTTACATGAATTGGGAAGGCCAGTCAAACAAGTTGTGTTGTAGTGTACAAGAGACTTATTTATCACAGTGCACAACTATGCTTGAAAACTAACACTTTTTATCCAGAACCATCTTCAAACTCATGATTGTGTCATGCTTTGTAAGCTGTGATAAGGTTTTGGATCTTTTTGATTCATTTCAATTTTCAAGAATGAAAGAACCAATACTTTGATTGTCTTTCATGATGACTGCCTCCTCAAATATAGTCAATCTTGCTGCCTTCGTATATCTGATTAGTCAACTAACACTTCTTATGTACTTCATTTAGGCAAACAATATATTTAAGATTCCAATGATTCATTGTGGGAGTCATTGATTTGATACCTGAAATTTGTCAGTCCTCTATGACTGTCATCTAAATTGAACCTAAAAAGCAGAGCATATTCTAACTTGCTTCACTGTGAATTCTAATAATATTAAATTGTATATGATCTGTACTAAAAAAGAGAATATAAAAAATATGCAAGATGATTATTGACTTTTTTGTAGATTCAAAGAAAAAAAAACCTCAAAGTCTTGTAAAAACACAACAACAATAACAAAATTCAAAGGTAGAATCAGATGAAGTTAAAGATGATTTTATTTATGAAAAAGATCAATTACAAGTACAATAAATGCAGTGGAGATTAAAATACAACCTATTGAAATTGATAAATTTAAATGATAATTTGGAAGTAAAATCAAATCTGAAATGGCTACTAAAACTAAAGTACATAAATTTCCTACAGACTTTGGAATATTGAAAAGAAGGAGAGAAAAAAGAATCAAATTAGTAAAAAGAAAGAAATTTGATGATGATGATAGGATTTAGAGAGGGAAAAAATGACTGAACTGCTACTACTGGACCCCATAGACCTAATAATACCATAAAGCCTGCATTACTGAAAAAAAGAAAAAGAAAGATTCAATTGATCAGTTTTCAAAGAACTACCTAGTACCAAAGGAGTACAAAAATGACCACTCACAAGATCACACCCATTGAAATCATCCCAAGAATCAGAAAAATGAGTTTTGTATCAGAAGGTAATTCAAAAATTTCCATTTTAAAGAAATGTAAAAATGGAATTGGAATCCAAAGTAAAGTTAAAGTGAAAAAGCCAATTGAAGAAGTAATGAAATTTGCATGAAGTAAGATGTTTTGAGGTGTTACCGTCAGTGATCTGTTGATTAAATCAATCTCAGGTTTTGATCTTTCTGTTTGTGACTATTTTTTGAAAAGATTGATGGGGTCATTAGGTTTAAATGGGTCTGTCAGGGTAAAGAGATGAGAAAGGAAATACCTCTGATAAAGATAATAAACCAGTTGATTCTTCTTGATCTCTTGAATGACGTTCAGCTTCAGAGGAATTTGAAATGATAGCTTTTGTAGAAAAAGAAGCGAGAGATTGTTTAAGAAGTTTAGGATCAGGTAAAGAGATGAGTTTTTTATACCAAACTTCATAGCCAGCATAAGTTAAGCTACCAAGCAAAGCTAAAGCGGTACCTAACAAACGATGAGTGGGTGGAGCAGCAGTAGATGGAGAAGGACTGTGATGATCAGGAAGGTTTGGTGGGTTTATGACGGGATGAGTATTAGTGTTTGAGATTGGATTCGAAAAAGTAATAATCAAAACACCAAAAAAGGAAATCAAAACCGAAATGATTTTTTTGATTGAAATGAATTCGGTTTTTAAAAACCATATAGCAAATAAATAAGCAAAGAATGCATTTGTATTATAAATTGCAGTGACTGAAGTTAAATCGATCAAAGAAACTGAGGCGAACCAAGATAAAGAAGGTAAAGCTATTAAGAAGGTAAGTTGTATTGATCTGATCAAAAACCTACGTAATGGTAAATTGGATTTAAATGATTGGATTGGATTTAGATTTAATGCATTCTTGCTTCGGTTAATTCTTCTGATTTCTTCATTATCATTATCATTTTCTAGTTCATCAAGATTGCCATCGTCCAAATCCACAGGACGGTTTATCTGATCATTCAAATCTTCAAATCGATATTGGTCAACAAAAATGGATTTCAATTGGACCAGATCATTTAAAATCGAATTCCTAATTGTACTTGTTGATAAAGCATCAGGATGAGTGAATTGATGTTTTGATTTGAAAAGTCGAATGATTAAAAGATGTAAAGGTAAAATAAAAAGATAACTAGAATGAGTTAAATAAAGTAAAAGATAAGGTTTTTGATAATCATTTTGAATTTGTATGATTTGTGATAATTCAGATTGAGTTACATAAGAAATTAAAACTATGATAAATATTAAAATCGATCCAATCCTTTCAAACCATTTCTTCTTCTTTTCTTGATTTATGATTTCAAGATTACTCTCAATTGGATCTTCATGGTGCTGATTGTCTTGATGGCTTTGGATGTTTGTTCTAATAGAATGTGATGCTGAATTTGAGTTCATCTCTTCTTCTTCTTCTGCTTCTTCTTCGTCTTCTTCTTAGTTCAATTCTTTCGGTTTAGAGTTTTCTTGCGGATTTAGATTGCATCATTCGGGGAATTCAGTTTGAAGATTGCTCAATTCACTTTCCCTTTCAAACCTTCACTGTTACATAAAGCCCTGATACCGGTCTGCGTCTCCCGATCTCCATTTTGAAAATTCGGGCGTAGTCGGTCCAAAATGGTATGCATAATTTGATTTGAAATTTGTGCTGTGATCAAACTTATCGAAGTCCACTCGCTCGGATAAGTTTGCACGCGGACGTACGATCGAGATATACAACCATATCATCAAACGGAAGATGAAGGTCTTTGAATACCTGTTTTCGCTTTTCAAACCTCGTCATACTCAACTCAAACCGTATCGTGCGGAATGGGGCGCCGGTGGACCGTCGATTGTATCCCTGGGTTTCAAGCTGCTCAAGATGATTAAAGCAATCCTTTATGCTACTGGTGGGGCCAAGGTCTGGGAGTGGTTCATTTTTAACGAAGTAAGTGGTCGCAAACACTTCAGTGATAGCAAATCTATTTGTTGACTATGAGCCCACTTGGCATATGTTCTAGCTTAAAAAACTGGAGATCGACGCTCCGCCTCCGCGTTCTGACTGTGTTCCACCGCCCAAAGTTGATGAGTGATTGACCAGTGGGTTGCATTTCTCATCTCTGGCAACCTCAAAATTACTCACGCACATATATTTTGCGTGGCCCAGGGAAAGAATACATTTTGCTTACTAGAGAATATGCGAGAAGGGAACTCTTACAACATTGTGAATTTTTCCAAAACAACGCACTGTAACTTAAAACCCTTGCAAACATAGAATACTTCATAGTAACCATAAGCAATGACGCACTGCTCCACATCATGTTTCTAAACCTATCCTAACAAGAAATTTAACTGGCCATATTAATATGGTATGTGCCAAGATGTGAAAATACATGTACCACTATTATTTACAGTACACAACTCCAAATTGTCTTTTAATTGTGAAGGATAAATGGAAAAAATTCATAAAAGCCAAATTTGCAACAAATTCACAACTCTCTTTGTAATAAATTGATGGATGGATCTCTTCTCTAATCTGAATACAAGGTTTGTATGGAAATATGATTATGGGTCTTTCTTAGAAATCAGAAAGAAGTTAAAAAACCTTTTGAAAAATCAATTTACTTTTTCATTATCAAGAGGTGAAATATATGTACTTTCTCATGAGAGATCAAAAATCATCAAGTTCTTTTGATGGATTGGATCAAATGGATCATGTCATTTTGTAGTGCAGAAAAGTTTTAAAATGAGTGTCTCCTTCTTGTTAATTTCCTTACACTCTGTACCATTTTTAACTGCTTCATTTCTCCTTATCAGTGGGCTTGATCTTACAGTCATGAGAGTCAGACTATATGAGTTGGAAAGAACTGTTTTTCTCTATTTAACTCTTTAGACCTCTCTATCTGTATCTTTCTCTCTTGCTCAAATCTGCTAAATGTTGGCCAAGGTAACAGAAGGTCAAAAGAGGAACAAAAAATCAAGTGAATTGAAAGTGGTAAGAATCAATGTGGGTCATGATGCATCACCATTTTATTGTTGATCAATGGAAACAAAGTCAACAGTAAACCCTCATATTGGCTGCATGTGAGAGGTAAAAGTTGTGAAGTTATCAGCAGGTAACAAGTTTTCAAAGTTCAATATCAACTTGTTCAACCTTTGCAGTGATTATTGATCAAAACTGCACAATTAGTGTACATTCAAAAAAAACAGAGACATATGTGAAATAACCAGTCTGAAGAAGCCAGACAGGGTAGTTATTTGAACAGTAAAGGTAAATATAATGATCATGATATTTGTATACTGAGAGGATTAGTTGGTAGGTAGATTCAAGGTTGAATTAACTTGACAGTGGGTGCCATAGGTCCTTTTTATAGGGTGAAAACGACCATATATAAAGCAGGAGACACAAGCAAAGAGTTAAAGATACAAAAGCCTGTCACAGGAGATTGGGCATTTGGATTAACAATAGGCATTTTAAAGATCATGATCAAACATTGAATTGGATACAAGCAAGGCAACATGAATACGGAAGACATATGAAAGTTGCAGAGCGTAGGCTGGGTGTACACAGAATGGTGATATTGGAGACAACAGAGGAAGTAGTTGTTCAGAGGGTAAAAGAAACAAGGACAATAAAAAGGATATATGCATACTTACTAAGAGGCTGTGTTGGTAGGAATATCCATGTGTGAACTGGCTTGGGAGAGGCAGATTGGTTGCAAGGATTCACCCCCTTTGGTACCACAGGGCCTTTTTGTAGGGTAGAAATGAACATATACCCACCAAGTTTGGAGTAAGAGACAGAAATGCTTGTCATTGACATCGGACATTGCAAAATTTGGAATAAGCATTGGAAAATCTTGCAATTGAAGATTGCAACAAAAAGGAACAAAAGGGTTGAAGGTCAAAATGATCAAAAGAATCAACTAACAAGGAGAGTGTGATTGCACACAGTGCTTAATCTCCACATGGCGAGAAAAGCACAGGGACACGCTAAGAAACATTCAAAAAGCATGAAAAGCGGCCTAGGACTCAGGAGGATTGCATGGTACTTCATGCGAGTCGATTTGACATATTTATATTTTAGATTTATATTTTAGATGTGTGATACCCTGAATCCCATTGTTCTCTTTGTTACCTGTTTCTTTCCTCACCACTTTCTCAAGAATGCTTTTCCTTTTACTTTGTGTGCTTTTTAAATGTACTCTCATTTCTCTTATCGACAAATCCCCCGGATTCGTCTACCAATGTTGTTGACCGGATCCAAGTACCAACGGATCCGGCCATCCTAGCTTTATCTCGATGTCTCTGACATCACCGCGTTGTATCTTCCCACCTATTTCCTTATTTGTACTTTGCAGAGATGGATGTCTATATAAAGACATCCATCCCTCGCTTGTGGAATGAAACCTCAAGCAGCTTCTCCTACAGTTTCATCGCACCAATCCTTGTTAGGAATAACAAATAATTATTTGTTAGTAAAAATTAACCCTTTTCCTTTTTTTTTCTAAAAGAAACACCTTTCCCAAACAAACCGAAGAAAAGAAGACTCCCTACTAAACCTGTGACCTCCTCTTCTCAAAACAGTGCTCAACAACACCAATCAAATTCAATCTCGAAAAAAAACCCAAACAGCACTAACCCTCACAGGCTCGATATCTTAAAGTCGTGAGTTATTCTCAAATTCCTTAGCTAGTTATTTCGATTATATCTCAAACGACTGCTTCTCTTTGATTAAAAGAAAAAAAAAAGGATAGACTCAAAAGTCCTCAAAACATACAACTAACAAACCAAACAAAGAAAACGCGCACCACCTTTTTAGGTATCAACAAAGTAACAACTAGAAGATTTTAATCTTTATAAAGTACGTACATTTTTTGTAGACTCTGATCAAGTCCCACGAAAAATTGTTAATAGACAATCCGTTATTTTTCTAAAAAGAACAGAAAATAAAATAAAACCATGGATGAACAAAACGGTTTCGTACAAATCCCAGCGGAGGACATCAGGCTCCTACGAGCCCAAATTCAACAGACTAATATTGACTCACAGAATACTGCCCAGGCTCATGCACAAGCACTCTCGGAACTTCGGGAGCAATACCAACAAGCATATCAACGCCAGGCTTTAGAACTCGCCGACACCAAGAACATCATCCAACAATTACAAACTAACCAACAACACACTTATAACAAAAAACCCGACGCCTTCCGCGGGGAACCTCGAAAATTTGAAGGGTACGGCGACAACGCGGAGACCTGGATTCTAGAACTGGAATCTAATTTTCGCATCCATCATTATCCCGAGAGCGAGTGGGGAGAAATGATTGGGGCATACTTGGACGAGGAATCCAAGATGTATTGGCTCTCCGAACAAAATGCCACCGGAGGAATCATCACCGACTACCAAGAGTTCAGAAGAAAGTTTCTTCAAAAATACAACTTCAGTCTAACTATGGACGAGATACGAGAAAAAATCAAACTACTATACTACCGTAACAACATACATGACTACATCTTACAATTCCGAAAATTGTCTTGTCAACTACCCATGGACAAATATTGCTTCTTCGACAGAAAATTCGCATTTTTGGATAAGCTCCCTGCTAACATTCGAGAATGGGCGAATCGACCCGAAATTGTTGATAAAGAAGATATGGAACTAATCTATTCCGCAGCTAGAGAACGTGATCGACACAACAAGGTTAATAACCGCAGCTTCAAGACACCAGAGAGCAAACCCACATTCGAACGCAAGTTTAGCCGACCTTTCTCGCGAAACCACTACCATCGGTCATCAAACTTTGGAAAACCCCCCGCGGTTACCAACTCATCAGGACCTATGGACCTGGACCTGATGGACAAAGAGAAAATGAAGGTAACCTCTCAGACCGAATGTTATAATTGTCACGGACACGGTCATGTCGCACGAAACTGCACTAACTCAAAAAAACCTTCCAAACCAAACTTCAAGAAGCCAAGCTATTCGAATGGCGATCGTCGCAAACAGAGTTTGTTAATGATAGATATAGATCCAAGAACCTCTCGCGGAATGGATACCACACCCTTCATAGGTCCCGACGGGACGATGATGAAAGCCTCAAAGGAATCTAGTTTGAACCTTGACGACCCGGATCTTGATGGAAGAGAGGACCTAATCTCGAAGGTCAAAGCTTATAAGGAAACCCTCAAGAACCCCGAGCGCGCGGAAGAACTAAAAAAGGAACGTGACGCTCTAACCAAACTATTCCAGGAACAAGCTGAGGATCTCTCATACCAATGTTGTAAGTCGTGCCTAATTTTTGGCAATGAAGATAGCCCAGAAACCATTTCTAAAGGTATTGAATATTTCAACCTAGATGCCAAGCAAGTGAATAACCTCATGAAAAGACCCCTGGAGGAAGACTCACTTGGTGAAGGAACGAGTGAAAACCCAATTCTGGTACACTCCAGCCCACCGCTCACGTCCGGATATTCAGGGTACCTAGGCC